AATTGAAGAAGAAGAAGTCTCTCCCCAAGCGTTGAAGTGTTGAATGTAGTGATCCTTTGCTCGCCTTGAAGAATCCGTTGAAAGAAAGAAGTTTCCCTCAAGAATTCATGTAGGAGAAGGCAAGAGGAAGGTGGCCGGCCAAGGGGAGGGATTCAGAGAGATTAGGTTCATGTTTTGGGAGAGGAGATGGAGGGAAATCTAATTCAACACTTCCTAATTATCTGCTTAATTGAAAATAATTACATGAAGGACAAAGAGCAAGAGGGGGGGGCAGCGGCAAGAGAGGTGGGGTGGGGTGGATTTACTTCTATGTGGAGGAGTTCCTTTATTGCAAGGAAATTAAATAGGTGGGGCTAGGGGAGGATTCGTTCAAGGGGAAAAGGGAAGAGTTTGAATTGTTTCCAAAGTGGGGATTTGGGTTTTAGGAAACAATTCATAAATTACCCCTATAGGGGCCGGCGGCATCAAGGGCTAGGCGGGAGAAGTTTGGGAAGTTTTTTCATGCTTCCTTAGATTAGGGGAATTAAATTAAAGATGAGAGATCTTATCCTTCATTAATTTAAATTCAAAACAATCAAGGATTTAGAAACTTTTCTAAAATAGATTAGTTAAATCAGGAAATAATTTGAATTTCAAATTCAATTGATTTGAAATTCAAATTTTTCCTAAATCAACTTCAACTAAATTAAGAAACTCAAAGACGAGGGGAAAAGATGAGAAGGGCCGGCTAAGGGGAGTAGAACCGGCGGTTGGGTGGGCTTAGGGAGGAATAGTTGACGGAAAAGTGGGGAAAGATGCTTGGGGAAGGAGTGGATGGCTGGTGGAGGAGGGGTGGTGGTTGGCTTGGTGTAGGGATGGAGGCCAGCGGTGGGGAGGTGAAGCCGAGGGGAGAGGGGTTGGAACCGGCAGTGGAGGTGGGAGGATGAAGGGAAAGATAGATAAGAAAACCACGATCCCGACTCGTCTAGGTTGGTGGGTAATGCGCAATTCTCCCTCTCCTAGGGATCTCACTCCAATCTCTCAAGCTCTCATAAGGACTCAAACAAAGAGAAGAAAATTTTGTAATCAATCGTTCATTAACATGAAAAGAAGAACAATAGGGCTATAAATAGCCTCGTACAAAGACTCACAAAATAAAAGGATGAAAATGCCCCTAGAGCTTACATACGACCTCCATTAATAAAAGGGTACAACGGGAAACTAATAAAGCAAATGCAATATGATATCATAAATAAGAAAATACATAAAAAAACTCAGAAATACAATGACTTAATCGTGGTCGTAGATCGACGACCACGTCTCTAATAGACTTTCCACGATCTGATGTCCCCATCATACTGAACGGTACCGAGCGGTACTGTGTTCTAGTACCGAGCAGTACCGAGCGAGCGGTACCAAGCAGTATTGAGCGATACAGAGTACTGAGTCGCTCCGTCGAAAAAGAAAGAAGAAAATGAACCTTCATTGTTCACGTCGCCTTCACTGTTCTCATCGTCGAGTCGCTCCGTCGACAAAGGATGATCCTGTCGGCTTTAATGCTCACATCGTCAAGCCTCTTCGTCGACGAAGGATGATCTTGTCTGCTTCTATGCTCACGTCGTTGAGCCGCTCCTTCGACTATAACGAAGAAGACGAACACTTGTGCGGAAACGAAAAACCTAGCTTGCCGAACTGTTTAAGCCGCAAATGCGGATAGCCGAAATGAATAGGGAAAATTGCGGCTCCGTTTTTTTTTTTAAATAGGACAAGCGTATCCGATATGTGTGTCCGGTCAAATTTAAAAAATATTTTAATAGGAAATGGCAAAGTCGTATCCGACACGTATCCGTGCCGTATCGGAAGCGTATCCGTATCTGACCCGTGTCCAATACAACATGCCTTGTAAATAGGAGCATCCGTGCAACATAGTCGGACATCCACCAACTTCTTCCCCTCCGGTTAACTTTTCGTTGAGCAAGACTGAATGCGTTCTTTTTCTTTAGGTGGCATCTCTAGGTTTGCTGAAATTATTCTCCCGCTTACCCCACTATCAAGAGTGAAAGTGAGGGGAACTCGAGGTGAATTTCTATTTGTTAATGGTGGATTTTGTTATTTTTGCATCTAGTGTTACTACGATTTTTGTTCTTATTTTAAAATTGTCCTGTTAATTTTTCTGTAACCGCATGCCAAAGCACAACAGCAACTAAGAAATCCTAGACTCTTATATTGGTGAAACATTGAGTTTAAAATTATCAAAGCTTAACAAATTGTTATTAATTCTAAAGCAATTCATGCTTCTATATATGTTTCACATCAATTTTTGTACAGATCTATAAATAAGGATAGTTTTGTGCAATAAAATTAAGCTTTTTTCCTCTCCAATTCTCTGAATTTAACAGTAACTATTCACAGACTAATGTATTGTAGCATCCTTTGATTTTTAAGCAATTCCAGTTATCTTTGCGTGCTACGGCTGATGCAGATGGGACAGTAGATTTAATTAAGGGAAATTATATATATTATTTATTATCTAATAGTTTCTTGCAAGGTTTAAAATTGCATAAATAAGCCTCGAGGCGTTTTTCATCCGTGAGGCGAGGTGTAAGCCTCAAGGCGGTGTGAGGCGTAAGCCTCACCGATTAAGAATTGCGTATATGAGAATTTAAGGGTTTTAGCAAGTAAAAAATAGTAAGATTCTATCATATAATAAAAACATCTAAATGATAATTGAAATTAGGGGAAAGTAAGAAAATAGATGCAATAAAATCACGTCCCAAAGTACAAAACCACAAAATATTGATCTATCAACTCCCAAAGTACAATTAAGAAAGAACATATATAATCCAATCATGTCCCATCACTAAATGGGTCTTCAAGGGAATCTTCTTCTCCAATTGTATCTATGAATGTTATATCTTCATCATCTTTAAAGTGACTCACTTTTCTCTTTCCTATTCAATAAGAATGATCATTATCATATTACTTTCCCACTTGATATAAATATAATGTAATAGCATATAAGAAGTTGTGGAATACCTTTATTTGGTTGTTGTGTTACAGAGCTAGTGGATGTGTGTGGTGTGGTACTAGTATATGTGCCCACTTGATCTGCTTCGCCCCTCAAAACATCCACACTTAGATCCTCTAATTACAAGTCTGATAATGACAAATTTGTCTCATCATCTATGAACCACTCATTATCAAATGCCACATCATCACACACCAAAGGATCCTCATCATCCTTCAACCCCTTGTTCCTCAACGTCCTTTCTCTCAACCTCTTGTTGTGCATAATATACACAAGGGAGTTCATTCTGAGTGTTGAAAGTCGATTTCTTCTCTTTGTTTGCACTTGAAAATATGTACTCCAGTTTCGCTCACACCCAGAAGAAGAACAAGTGAGGCCCAAAACTCTAACAGCAAAACTCTATAACTCAGGGGTGGAATCACCAAATTGAATCCACCATTCAACTATTTTCAAGAAAAAAATGATAATCAGAACATATTAAAGTGTTTTGCATTTACAAAAATAAGTATACCTGGAGATCGTTTGGCAATAGTTGATTTTGCTACTTACAGACCAAAAAATCCCTCCTTATTCCGAAATAGAACAAGTTGTAAGTCTACAAGATCCCTAACGGTATGGTCCGGTATTAGTCGTTCCATGCAATGATACAAGTCAAGCTCCACCTCCGAGTTTGAGGATTTTCTCTCTGAATATTGAAATTGAGGATTTAGATAATACGCCGCTGCATGTAAATGATTGTGTAGCTGTACCTTCCATCGAGCATCAATGTACCGGGTCCAAGGGGGCACTATATATACCTAGCAGACCATGCATGTACCTAGCGGTATCGAGCCTGTACCTAGCGGTATCGAGCCTGTACCTAGCGGTATCGAGCATGTACATAGTGGTACCGAGCATGTACATAACAGTACCGAGCATGTACCTAGCGGTACCGAGCATGTACATAACAGTACCGAGAACTATGACCCTAGTTTTCCTATAAGTTGAAAAATCAAACCCTAAACTTAAAAAGAATCTTAAGAACATTTGAAGAAGTGATGTAGAGGGGAGGCCGGAAACAAATGACTCACCGGCGAGAGATGCGGCGGAAACGTGCGAGAGAGCCGAATCGAGCGTCTGCGTGCTTCCTGCGCAGCTTCGGTTGACGTCTTTGGTCATGTAAGTGGGTCTTCGAAAGGGTAAGTGGGTATAAGGAAGAATTTAAGAGGTTTTATAAGTAAGCGGACCCTCATATTTGAGGCGTACGCCTCAAAGGAAATTGTGCAATAACGCTAGTGAGGCACGCCTCACTCCACCTAAGGCGTACGCTTCATGATGCCTGAGAATTGCAAGCTTTGAGGCTGTTTTGGAGCAAATTGCGCAAAGGGACGCCTCAGATTGCGCAATTTTAAACTATGGTTTCCTGTATGCACAACTGATGCTTGCTCATCCGTAAGCACAATTAATAATAACAAGCCGATAGCCGACTTGACAAAAGATTGTTAGATAACATCAATTTGGCTGCTTGAGTAAATATTATTGACTCAAATAAGATGACTTTAATCTTCTGAGCTTATGTTATCCTTGGATTTGTCATTTTTTACAAATGATTGCAGTAGATGGATGAATTTTATTTTAAGTTTTAGGGGATAAATTTCACCTAAGGATTCATATTTTTTTATTTTTATTTTTTTATCTGAATGTGGCCTTTAAGTTGTTGTTCGGGCCTTTAAGTAATATGTATTGGGATTTGAGGCTATGTTGACTGATATAGCCTCCTTCAGTTGATATTTTTTTCAACATGGTCATTATTGGGATTTTGAATGCTTTCATTTTGTTGCTTTCAACTTTATCAACTCAGCCAAGTTGCTTGTAGAGTTTCGAGTCCATGATTAACATTTGCAATTGTAATTGTAAGACAAAACATCATTGTGCCACAGGAATAAAATAAAACAAGTGCCACAGGACTAATGCAAGATACAACTAGATTAAAAAAGCAAAACATATTTGCTACCTTCAGCAGCAAGATTGGCAACGACCTTGACAGCATGAGTTTGTACATCCAAATCTTCTGACTTTAATAGAGCCAATACTTTTGGTAGGCCAACTGATGGTATCAGATCACATGAAACAGAGGGAAAAGCACACAAAAATAAACAACAGTTGAAGTAACATGACATTGCAAATCAATAGTGCAAATAATAGTGAGTCATGCCTTCCTCAAATAATTTGGCAATGAACGTTCTTTGACCAGGAACAGTCCCTCTTGGTTTGCTTGACTTGGATAAATTCATAGGAAATTCTAATCCAGATGATGGTTTAGATATGTTGCTTCTGCCTTTGGACATTTCAGCCTATAAAACAGTAAAATGTTCAGTCCTGCAAAACCATACATTCAACATCGTAAACTTAATCTGCAAACATTCTGACATTAGATACCTCAAAGGCAACTCTATTATCAGATAATAGCTTATTCAGTTTGATGATGTCAAATTCAAGAGATTTCCTGCGCTTTTCTTCATCTAGCAAATTTTCCTGAGAAGATTTAAGCTCTTTAACTAACAACTCCTGCACAAGAAAATAAAACAACAGTTGCTAAAGGAATAGGACACATACGTATGCCACAACAGCATTTTTAGCACAGAGTTCAAGTTAGTTTTAATTAGAAACTTGTTTCCTTGCTATCACCGGTACAATCAAATTGCACAAACAACGCAAAATTGGAGTCATTTTACATATTCTTCAACGCTGTCTATATCCCTCTCTCGTCAAAAAGCAACCTCTTCGAAAAATCAACTTTTTATAAGCACAATATTTAACCTAGCAACAAGCCTTAGACTTCATCTGCTCATACATCGCCTTTGTATTGTGTTTTAAAAAGCATTTTATTACAATTTTTATTTCTATGGGAGGCATACAATGAAATCCCTACTATGCATCTCACAACTACACAAATATGGAGAATACACCAGCAGAGGAGCTTGTTCACATATTTATGCAAGCAGCAACAACATCATTTGTCATGCCACAATAACTGATATAGCACAATAATGATCGATTGATCATTAAACCAATTTAGCCTACAAAAGAGCCATTGCATGAACCAACAAAAAGGACTGAACAAGGCTACAAAAAAGCTTAACCAGCTTGATGTGAAACAAACATGTGAAGATGAGTTGCTTAAGGAAATTGCACGCTTAATATTTAGGGCACAATAATTATATCTTTATAGTGATTTCGAACGATAATATAAAACACAAAGAGCGGTGACAAAAGCTTAGGCTAAATCACACGTGTAGGAGTTAAGACCGTAAAACAATCAATTAGTCTAACATTGCATACGTGGAAAGTTTCAACAAGAAATCCATAGACCAACAATGAGATTAATACTATGAATGATCCCTCACACAACTCTAAAAATAAAGAGTGAGGGAAAGAGTTTACCGAAGGTAACTAGCGAGGGATGTATTGGTTGACGTCCCACGATCATCCACGATCCGGTTGGGAGGTGTTCGTCAATTGACGGTGCCAACATGAAGATGATGCGTTCGATGTAGCTTTCCATGGAGTCGTCGACGTCCAAATTGAAATCGAAGAATGGAGATCGGAGAACGTCGGTCCGGTCCAGAGAATCCTCTATGAACCCATGATCAACATCCGGGTCGACCATGCATGATTGTCTAAGAGAGAAAGTAGAGAGTGAGAGTGGGGAAGGGCTCTGGTAGGTTCGGCCAAGCAAAGGGGAAGAAGGGTAAAGGGTTAAATCTGAAAATAATTTCAGATCTAGTGAGTAATTAGAGAGTAATTTCCTTGAAATTTGAATTTGAAACGAGTAAGAATTAGGAGGGAAACTGGGGATGGGATTGAATTAATTAGATCCTTAATTTATGGGACCTAATTAATTAGAGAGAGGAGGGGGAGGGGCCGGCCAAGGAGAGAGGAGAGAGAGAGAGGGATCAGGCAATAAGGAGGTGAGCCCAAGCAACTAAGGGGATTGAATACTTAAATCTAAAATTAATTTCAGATTTAAGTTAATTGAGGGGTTTCCCTATATTGGGCTACAACACCACATGACCACACCTAGGAGTAAAATGGGAAAAATATAAAAATAAAATGAACTAGTACATAAAACACATCAAAATAAATAAATAAATAAACTCCAGATCATAGTCGTTGATCTCTGGCAGTGCCCCGGAACAATTTTTTATTGTAAGACTTGCTTTAAAGTTCTCTACTCTCTATACCGAGCAGTACCAAGTTCCAGTACTGAGCGGTACTGAGTTCCAGTATCGCTCAGTGCCGAGCAGTACCGAGCGATACCGAGTACTGAGAGGTACCGAGTACCGAGCGGTGCCGACTTCAAGTATCGAACCTGCGATTAAGAAAATGAAGAACGAAGAAAACGAACATTCAACACTCACGTCGCCTTCACTGTTCATGTTGTCGAGCCACTCCGTCGATGAAGGATTATGTCGGCTTTAATGCTCGCGTAGAGATATATTTGGATACACCAAAGTCTACAACTGATCTTCTCCAACTTCCTCTAGTGATTCCTAATCCAGTTCATTTGTTACTAACTCAAGAGACATTCACTCAAACTACTACATTTTGTTACATTTACACTTACTAAAGGTTGCACTTTTGTTACCATTGCCACCATCATCGCCTAGTACACTAACGGATTGCAAAGATCTCATCACCTCAAGAGAGATTCTAGTTCAAATGATTATAGTTTGGTACAACCATAATCACTTGAGATTGAGTTTATGTTGTCATTGCCACCATCATCGCCTAGTGCACTATAGGCATAAATTGAAGACAGTATGATGGGGACATCAGATCATGGAAGGTTTATCAGAGGCGAGGCCGCCGATCTACAGCCATGATCAAGTCTTTGTATTTTTTATTTCTCCTATGTATTTTCTTATTTATGTTGTAGCATTTTATTTGCTTTCTTTAGTTTCCCATTTTACCCTCTTATGAAGGGATGTCGTATGTAAGCCCAAGGGGCATTTGTGTCTTTTGTTTTTGAGTCCTTTGTATAAGGCTTTATATAGCCCTCCTTATTTTCTTTTGAGATGAATGAATGATTGATTATTAAAATTTCTTCTTGCAAGAGATTTGAGAGAGCTTGAGAGTTCTAATGAAGAGAGTTTCCTAGGAGAGGGAGATCGTGCAATACCCACCAACCTGGATAAGTCGGGTTCGTGGTTCCGTACTTCTATCTTCTTTCCTCCACCCTCCAATTCACCACCTCAAAGCCTCCGGATTTTCTTGCCCCTCCACCTAGCCGAACTCCCTCCCGACCTCTTAACCCCCACGGCCAAATCTCCACCCAAAATCCAAAAGCCGCCGACCACTACTCCAAAGCCGCCGGCCACCTCCACTTCATCATCTCCTATAAGTTTCCTAATTGGGTAGGAGGTTAAATTGGGATGATTGAAAATTCAATTTCTTTTGAATTTGAAATCAAAATCTTCCCTAATTTAATTACTCTATTTTAGGAAAGTATTTGAATACGATCCTTTGAATAATTTTATTCATTTGGATTGAAGTTAAAACTTTCCAAATCCCGACACTTAAATTAGGAAGCTCCAATTAAATCCACAAATTGCTCCCTCTCCTGTGCTTGTCGTCGGCCATACAAGGCCCAAACCGCCGGGCCCACTTCTCTCATTACCTTTTGGATTTCCCAAATTTAATTCTATTAATTGGGAGACAAATTAGGATCCCAATTAATAAAATTCTGAAATCCAAAAGTTTTCCTTTATGCTTTGACTTATTTTAGGAAAGTTTCCTAATTTAAGTCCAATTGATTTTAAATTAAATTGGACCGAATCAAATCTTTCCTAATCCCTAAACCTAAAGTTGGAAACCCATCCCCACATGCTAAATCCCCTCCCCAATCCATCAAAGCCATGGGCCCCTACTTCCCTACCCGCCCCCTCTCTCTCTCCAACTCTCTCCTCTTCTTCAATCAACTCTCCTATTGACTAAAATCTGAAACTTATTTCAGATTTAGGTTTTTTGGTCCACTCCCCCTTCAAGATCATAAGAGAAACTTCTTTCTCTTTGATTGTCCTCACAAGTGCTTCATCAAGTGTGAAGAGTTGATCATCTACTCATGAATAGCGGATCTTGCAACTGAATACGGCATAACTTGGGACGACGACAGTTTCATCGGCATCCTCCGATCTACTTTCTTCGACGTGAACCCAAGGATCGACCATACCGTCGAAGACTACTTGGAGCGCATTCTAGATACTTTGGTGGATGCCATTGACGAACACTTTGAAGGCATTGAGTGGAGGATCTCCACTACCCCTTGACAAAGGTTTCTCCCTCTACTTGCATCTTCTCCCTTTTAGTCTAACTCTTCTTGATTTGATTGCAGTCACAACGGACTCCTCCGCATTGCTCTCGCTTAAGCTTAGTAAACGTAGGTGTTGACCTTCGTGTTATACAAAAAAGAGAGAGGATCGTCCCGACGATCCAGGTTCGTACAGACGAAAATGACAGATTTCTTCACAAATTTCTTCAGTTCGTCCAGTACTAAATCCAGTTCGTACAGACGAACTGCACAAAAAAATCAGCTTTTTAAGGGTTTTACAGCACCTTCCTAGTATATCGCATCATTTTTCTGGGCTTTATCGTTTCATCCCAAGGGGTTTCCGCAAACCCCGAGAAGGGAGGGCCATTGTAGAGTGGCTTATCCCTCAGACTATCTGGGAAGTCTGCAACTTCCATGGATTAGCCACCTTCTATAGGAGATTCATGCAGAACTTCAGTACTATTATTTCTCCTATCACTGATTGTCTGAAGAATGGTGATTTCCACTGAACCCCGACTGCCACCCGAGCTTTTGATAAGATGTAACAAAAGATGGTGGAAGCCCCAGTGATGCGACTTCCTGATTTCTCCAAAGTCTTCAAAGTGACTTGCGACGCTACGGGGGTCGGAATTGGAGGAGTCCTCTCCCAGGAAGGTCACCCAGTAGCGTACTTCAGTGAGAAATTGAATGATATTTGACACCGTTATTCCACGTATGACAAAGAGTTCTACGTCGTGATCCAATCTCTTCGCTATTGGCGACACTACTTGCTCCTACAAGAGTTCGTCATTTTCTCGGATCACAAAGCTCTGTGTTATATCAACTCCCAAAAGAAGTTGAATGCACGCCATGGTCGATGGGTTGAGTTCCTTCAGGAATACACTTACACCCTTAGACATAAGGCGGGAGTTGAAAATAAAGTTATCGATGCTCTCAATTGTCGTATGATTACCACCACTGAAATGAGAGCAGAAGTCGTGGGATTTGACCAAATAAAGAAGGATTATTTGGAATGCCCCGACTTCAAGGAGACCTACACTCTCTTGTTCACAAGCAGCACGCGCTTTGTGGACGATTTCCTATTGGAGGATGGTTATCTCTTCAAAGCCTAGAGGCTTTTGCATTCCGAGCACCTCCCGGAGGCCTCGCTGGGCACTTCGGACGGGACAAGGCTATCGAAGCCGTGGAGGACCGTTTCTTTTGGCCCAGCTTGAAGAGAGATGTTTGTTGGCTGGTCAGTCAGTGTCACACCTGCCAACTGGCCAAGCAACGTAAGCAGAACACTGGTCTTTACACTCCCCTTCCTATCCCCAGTTGTCCTTGGCAGGATGTTAATATGGACTTTATCTTAGGCCTGCCCAAGACACTCCGTAGGCACGATGCCATTTGTGTGGTAGTTGACCGGTTTTTCAAAATGGCGCATTTCATTCCATGTTCTAAAACATCAGATGCCTCTCACATTGTGAAGTTATACTTCAATGAGGTCGTCCGTTTACATGATTTACCCAAAACCATTGTCTTGGATAGGGATGTGAAGTTCACTAGTTATTTTTGGAAAACCATGTGGATGAAAATGGGCACCGAACTTCAATTTTTCACTGCCTTTCACTCACAGACGGATGGTCAGACTGAGGAAGTTAATAGGAGTCTGGGTAATTTATTGCGGTCCTTGGTTGGTGAGCACATTAGAGATTGAGATTTCATCCTACCTACTGTTGAGTTTGCTTATAATAATTTCATTAACCGAACCACGGATCTTAGTCCTTCTGAAATTGTATACGGGTTCAAACCTAGACAGCCGTTAGATCTGATACCCATGAGCTCTAGGTATAGGATTTCTGAGTCTGCATCAGCATTTGCATCTCATTTGCATGAACTTCATAAGGATATTGCACAACAAATTGAAAGGAATAATCATGAATATAAATTACATGCATATTTGAAACGACATTTTAAAACTTTTGAGGTTGGTGACTCCGTGATGGTGCGGATTCGTCCAGAACGATTCCCACCAGAAACAGTTAAGAAATTGCATGCAAAGAGTGTTGGACCTTTCAAAATACTTAAGAAAATTAACGACAATGCCTATGTATTAGATCTACCTGCAGAGTTCAATATAAATCATTTTTTAACATAGAAGATTTAGTGGCATATGAAGGTCATGATTTTAACCCACCAAATCCACTATTAAAACATACTTGTGTGAACCCACCTTGTGAGATCCTGAACCTACCTCCACTACCAGAAATTCTCATGGTAGAGCAAGTGGAAGCAGTCTTAAGTGATGAGATCATATCCACAAGAGAATGAGGACGAATGAGAGATTTGATCAGGTGGAAAGGAAAGCCCGAGTCAGAGGATACGTGGTTAGATCGAGAGGAGTTGCAGCAGATTGATCCGGACGCACTAGAGATCTACGAGAGCGCCAGAGATACTCGACGGAGTCGAGTTTTCTCCCACCCCGGGAGAATGATAGGGACATCAGATCATGGAAGGTTTATCAGAGGCGTGGTCGCCGATCTACTTTGTATTTTTTATTTATCCTATGTATTTTCTTATTTATGTTGCCGCATTTTATTTGCTTTCTTTAGTTTCCCATTGTACCCTCTTATGAAGGGATGTCGTATGTAAGCCCAAGGGGCATTTGTGTCTTTTGTCTTTGAGTCCTTTGTATGAGGCTTTATATAGCCCACCTTATTTTCTTTTGAGATTAATGAATGATTGCTTATTAAAATTTCTTCTTGCTTGAGATTTGAGAGAGCTTGAGAGTTCTAATGGAGAGAGTTCCCTAGGAGAGGGAGATCGCGCAATACCCACCAACCTAGATAAGTCGGGTTCGTGGTTCCGTACTTCTATCTTCTTTCCTCCACCCTCCAATCCACCACCTCAAAGCCTCCGGATTTTCTTCCCCCTCCACCTAGCCGAACTCCCTCCCGACCTCTTAACCCCCACGGCCAAATCTCCACCCAAAATCCCAAAGTCGTCGGCCACTACTCCAAAGCCGCCGGCCACCTCCACTTCATCATCTCCTATAAGTTTCCTAATTGGGTAGGAGGTTAAATTGGGATGATTGAAAATTCAATTTCTTTTGAATTTGAAATCAAAATCTTTCCTAATTTAATTGCTCTATTTTAGGAAAGTATTTGAATACGATCCTTTGAATAATTTTATTCATTTGGATTGAAGTTAAAACTTTCCAAATCCCGACACTTAAATTAGGAAGCCCCAATTAAATCCACAAATTGCTCCCTCTCTTGTGCTTGCCGCCGGCCATACAAGGCCCAAATCATCGGGCCCACTTCTCTCTTTCCCTTTTGGATTTCCCAAATTTAATTGTATTAATTGGGAGACAAATTAGGATCCCAATTAATAAAATAATGAAATCCAAAACCTTTCCTTTATGCTTTGACTTATTTTAGGAAAGTTTCCCAATTTAAGTCCAATTGATTTTCTAAATTAAATTGGACCCAATCAAATCTTTCCTAATCCCTAAACCTAAAGTTGGAAACCCATCCCCACATACTAAATCCCCTCCCCAATCCATCAAAGCCGCCGGCCCCTACTTCCATACCCGCCCCCTCTCTCTCTCCAACTCTCTCCTCTCCTTCAATCAACTATCCTATTGACTAAAATAGGTTTTTTGGTCCACTCCCCCTTCAAGATCATAAGAGAAACTTCTTTCTCTTTGATTGTCTTCACAAGTGCTTCATCAAGTGTGAAGAGTTGATCATCAAGTACTCATGAATGGCGGATCCTCCAACTGAATACGGCATAACTTGGGACGACGACGGTTTCACCGACATCCTCGGATCTACTTTCTTTGACGTGAACCCGAGGATCGACCATACCGTCGAAGACTACTTAGAGCGCATTCTAGATACTTTGGTGGACGCCATTGACGAACACTTTGAAGGCATTGAGTGGAGGATCTCCACTACCCTTGACGAAGGTTTCTCCCTCTACTTGCATCTTCTCCCTTTACTTGCATCTTCTCCCTTTTAGTCTAACTCTTCTTGATTTGATTGCAGTCACAATGGACTCCTCCGCATTGCTCTCGCTTAAGCTTAGTAAACATAGGATTTGAGTGCACCTCTGTGTTTTCTAATTCTCGTTGTTAGACTAGGGATTATTTTGAAAGCTACTACTATTCATTGTGCTATTTTCTATTTCTTTTGAAAGTTTCCAAAGCTCTCACCATGTGATTTAGCCTAAGCGGATAATTACTAATTGTTTTGAATCATTGTTTGAAATGCGCGAGTAGTTTTGTTCTAGAATTATTCTAATCCTAAGTTGTGCAAAATCCATATGGGTTAAAGAGCATTTCATTTACGTAGTCCTACATCATCTGCATTTTGGAGACATCCAACACCTAAGCCTCTAGATGTGTGTTCTTTGAACTTCATGTTGTTGCTTCTTGCTTGCTATATTGCAGGGCCGTCACTTCCAACAAATGATCCAATAATCGTACCTACAACAAACATATCATAAAAGAGGTTTTTGCATGCAGAGGTGAACTAATGCATTACAATAAAAATTAGTTGAACATTTAAAAAAATTAGCACAGACAAGACTAGTTTTATAGGTCATCAAAAAGGAGTGAAACCTTGCTACAAGAAAGTTAAACCGAGCCAATTTTCAAATCTTTCTAAACCGCCCATTAATTTTAGTTGAATTTCTTAGTATTTATTTTAATTTTTTATTAGGTTAAATGTAATAAAGATAATCTTATCCTTATAAAGATAATGCCATTCATATCTTAGAGTTTGTTTTTTCTTTAAAATAGAGCTATTGTATGGACTTTTTGGATATTCTTAATTGACAAATGAATTAATGATGAGGCTAATTTTGAATGATTTTGAAGAAATGGAAGTGCCAGCAATAAATTGCATATATCTGGACAAAATGAATCACTCACTTTTCTTCACAACCAAAATAATTGTAAATTGGGAATAAGTAAAAGATGATAATGGTGAATATAGGGAAAAAATACTCCCAAAACAAGATTGTTCTATATGACACTTGTGGGCCTAAACCTAGTATGGATAATTGTTAATTATAGCTAAAACATTCGATAAGAGCTCTTCTCTTTCTTTATTTTGATCCAAGTGGTGCATTTGAATTGCTCCAAATAGTGTACGCAAAATTTTCATACATTTTGCTCTCTTTCTTATTCCTCTAAAACTTAACACAACTCATTTTACTGATTACCTCCTCCATCATTAACCCCAGATTATCAAGCAAAAGTGCAAAACCACACTTTTTTTGGGTTACTACACTTAGACAACTTTGCATTATCACACGGTCAACACCTAGATACTGCATTTTAGCATATCCACATTTAAAAGTATGACAGCTTGGTAAGAATAGGAATTAGGAACTTAATGAAGCTCTTCTCTCTGTAACCCGGTCTCTACCTCTGAAGTTTTCAATTTGCTCTTAAAAACTTCCAAAGACTAATTTATTTATTGATTTTCATGTGGCAATTTCATACAATACAGTTTTTTTATGAAAACTCAATTAATGGCTTGTCAGTTCACATACTCCAAAAATGTTCAATTATGTAACAGATAAAGTTGATTGTCATTCTACTTCTTTAGGTGTATTGGAGATTTCAACAGCCAGGTATAATCTGCATAGACAAATTACATTAGTTATATATATGTCCACTCTGTGAAGATGACACTCTATGATATAAAGAGAGCGATGTGTTGCACATTATATATTGAATGAACATGATAGGAAAACTCATACCTTTTCAGACAGGAGTTCATCTTTCACTGCCTCTAGCGACTGGTTTATGCTTTCAGCTTCTTTCTTCATCATTGACATCTCGTCTAACTTTAAAATTAGGTCGTCGATTGCTTTTTGTTGCTTCTGAGCAATATCAGTCAATGACCCTTATCAGGTGGCGCTATGGCTATATTATTTTGAAAGAACAGTTTCCACAATCTTAAGTTCAATGACAAAAGATGAAAAATCAGATATTTATTAGAAGAAGAATATACTCTATGATACTAATATTAAAAGCTAAACCATATATAAGAGTTGGTCATATTTAATGTTATGAATGTCTAAAATATATAGTGCAAGCTATTAAAAAATTTCGATAGACTCGCATCAACCTTGTAACAACTATCTAGCAAAAGTTTTAGAAATCCTCATTATCCATTCATTATGTAGATTGCCACATTTCGTGTCAACTTTGTTTTGCATAAAACTTTTTGCCCAACTTCCATATATGTTACCTCCGATTTATTACTTTTTCTTCATCATTTTTTCACAGTAATTTTAAGATAAATTTCCAGCAATCCCCTGAACTTTATCCACGATTCACATAGCTCAATGTTTTCAACATTGATTTGCTCCTTAGCCCGTTTCTAATTTACAAGTTAGCGTCTGAGATTAAATGGTGGTCTTTAAAGGTTCATACTGCCGACAACAGTAACTTTTTATTAATTGTGTTCATGCAATGTAATGTTTTGCTTAAATTTGAATGATATAAAATTTGAGATCTAAATACCCCAATTCTAAATTTCAAATTAATTCAAAAAAGAAATGTTTGTTAATAGATGTACCATTTTCTAAGTTGTTTCTCCTATTCTAGGGTTTTAGTTTTTCTCAGAAAATCTTTCAAATTGTTCCAAATTTGCAAAGAAAGACAAGAAACAATCCTCCTTGAGCATTGTTTATGATTTGGGAGGAGTGTGTGTCAAAGGATGTTATTAGAGAAGAAGGTAGAGGAGAGCGTTGTCAGTGTCAAGGTCGTCTATTTGTTTTGGGGTTCGAGCATAAAGTGAACAGAGGAGTGCAAGCAAGAGATGGAGGGATTATGTAGTGACTAAATGACAATGGTGATAGTCTTGTCACTGAGGATGATCTCCTTGTTCTGGGTAGCATCAAGCAGAAAGAAATTGAAGTTTTTGTCAGCATTATGGCATTAACAGCAATTGGGGAATAAAAACCACGTCAATTAGGGTGAAGGAGCAATAGCAGCTGGTGAGGGAGGGGATGAAGGAACAAACAAGGGATAAAATAGAGAACTGATTGGGATAATAGCTAGCCGCTAAAAATATATGGAGGGGTGGGTGATGTAGAACGGATATGGGGGGAGGAGGTCATTTGAAATTTGAATTTCAAACTAAATGGAAAAGGGAGGGAAGGGGTACTTAATTAATCCCTTAAATTGAGTTCTTTTTTTTTTTTTTGAAGGAATTAATTAAAATAGGAGAGAGATTGGGGGGGCCTTAATGGAGAAGCATTAATTAAGTTGAGAGAGGAGATAGGAGAAAGGGGGTGGCGGGTATAGAGAGGAAAGGGTTTAGAGAAAGAGAATTAAAGTGGGCCTTGATTGGAATCCAAAATTGAGGAAGATTAATTGAAATCAAATCCAATCAGAAATTTAATTGGACCTAATTTAAATAACTTTCCTAAAATAAGAATCCTATATAGGAAACAAATTCAAATTCAAATTAATTTGAATTTTGAATTCGAATTTGTTATCAAATTAAGATGTATAAAATAGAAAGGCTTTGAATACAAGATGAAATTGTGGGAGCCAATAGAGGAAAGAAGGTGGTCGGCGGCTATGGAGGTATTAGGGTTAGGGTTTGTGAGGGTGTTGGCGGTTTGGAGGTGGGGGGAAGATGGCCGGTTAGGCTTAGGAGGGGGATGGAGAATTTTGATGGGGAAGAAGAGAGGGTTGTGGGAAGAGGCCGACAAGTTTGGGTGGATGATGTAGGCAAAGGAGGGGGGGGGGGGTCAAATCAACTTGGGTCCTTTTGTTCTTTGGGCTGCTTGCTGTCTCTCGGGTTGGGCTTTGGCTATTTTATTTTGAGCTAAAATCTTGAAAACTATTTGGTTCAAGCTCATAAATGCTTGAGCTAATGATAGCTCATTAATATGAAAAGGTATTATTCTTGTAAGCTCATTAATAAACTTTATTAGGTTCATTCCCTCCCCCTTGTGGCTCTTAGGTATCTTCCCTTGGCTGCCTTTGCCTCTTCCCCTTCTTGTGTCTCCTTGGTTTCTTCTTTATGTTGTTCCCGTGAACTGCTAGGTGCTGGTTGCCTTTTCGATTTTCCCTGGCTACTTTACCGTGACTTCTCCAGCCAGGTTTCTGTGTTGGCTCTTCGGGTCCCTCCCTGACTGTGTTCCCGTGGCTTCTCCTACTCGGTTTCTGTGCTGATTTTTGGGAGTTGTTTTGTAATATATGTTGCCCTTCCTCTTCCCCTTACCTAATTGGTTTAAATGGGGGTTTTATGTGGCTATTAGGCTCCCCTTTCTCTTCTATAAATATTAGGTGTTTTGTATTCAAAGAGTTTTAAGTAGGATGATATAATGTGATTTTTGGACATGAAAACCTAAGGGTTTTTTGGAAAAGCTTGAGAGCTTGTTCCACTTCTTCTTCTACTTCTTGGAAAGGCTTGCGAGCTTCTCCTATCTTCGTCTTGGACTTCTTACCTCCTTCTATCCACAAGTATGATGCCACTTGTATCCTTCTTCTCGACGATTGGCAAAGCTTCTTTAGGTGTCTTTATTTTGTCGTTTGTAAGCGTCAAAGTTTGTAAGTCCTTTTATATTGTAAAAGTAAAGTCATTTTTTGGTTTATTTGTTGTATTTTGTCTAGGTTTTTGGAATTTTGTGTCATTTATATTTCGTATGAAGGTTTAGTTTTTGCTTGCAAAAAATTTGGGGCTTTTCCCAAATTTTTGCTTGCATCAGTGCAGGGGATGAAGCTGGCAGGATTGGAGAGAGGATGGAGATGGCGATTAGAAAAAAATAAGGAGAAACAAAAACAAAGAAAACTGTGAGCCGGACGCTTCCTACGGCTGACGGGTGTTGTGCTGCCCTTCACCAAGGGACTTCAAGACACGAGTCTGGACCCATCCTACGGCTGGTAGAAACTACGATTCCCTCTCATAGGTATCTCACCAAACTCCTCCCAATGAACAAAAGTGCAGAATAATTTTTTTATTAAAACTCCATCATTGTCTAATACAAGAGCAAGGGAATCTATATATAGGCCTTCAAAGAAACTAAAAGATAACTTTGCCCCTTTGGCTTACATAAGACAAGACCCTTAAGGATAAAAATGAAAATACATAATTAAATTAAAAAAACAATTAATAAACTAATATAAAAATGGAGGGATCTCGGCCGTCGATCTTCGTCTCTTCCTTTGATTAACGTCCACCGTCGGATGTCCACATCAGTGGGTGAGGATACAAGAGTCGTCAAAGACAAGAGGATGTGGGAGAGGCAATGGAAGTAAGACTGATGGAAATCTAAATTACATAATTCCTTTCCATATGCTAATTTGCTAGACCCATATTCAACAGGTAGTTGATACAATCTCCTAATTCCTTCTTCTTCTTCTTTTCTGATTGCTACATATATACCAAAATCGTTGTTTATACATTTTCCTTATAGGTTAACTCAGATCTCAAATATTTCACTAATTGCTACAGTTTGAAATGTAGCTTTGTTGCCTCTTGTATCAAGTCCATTACCGCCAATATTCCTTTTTGGATGAATTCACATGGAAATTAAGAAACCTATAGCTGATTACAATAGTTTACACACAATGAGATGTAAAACTTTTCCTTTTGACTAGATCTAGGAAGATATAGATAAATCTTTTACCATGGGTCTTTTGTGGATTATAAATAAAACCACAGAGACATGAAAAAATCATTGAGCATTCAACATTGAAACAAAATTCCAGTTCTTTCAATTCTTGTTTGAGTGTGCGTTGTTTGTAGCGTGACACATACTTTTGGGGGCAATCTAATTGTACGACAGTGGAGACATGATTCTTCCTTTTGAGTGAAAATTACTTTCTTCTTGCTTCTAATTTATTTATTCATTGGTGTGTACTGATTGAAATTTCGTCAAGTGTGATATAAGTCGAATTCCATTTTACAAAATAAAACTTGATCGTTGTTGAATTTTATATTATATTATTATTAAGGTTGAATGAGGCGTGCTTGAATTAAAAATGACTAATTTTTATTACAATTAAAGTAATCATAGACCCTCAACTGTCTTACATCAAGGGGAAATCGAGGAAGGAGACACTGTTGAGGTTAATAGAACCAGAGAAGGAAAAAATAGGTTACTTCGTCATTTTCTTCTCTCAATCAGTGGTGATGTTCATGAAATGACCTTCATAAAAGAAGCATGTATGTGAGAGATCAAAATGTAGACTTCTTAAAAATGTGTACCTTCATGAACTGAGATAAAAATCTCAGAAACACCAGAGGAATTTACCCATCTTATTGAAGCATATTTCACTGTTTATTGTATATGCCCAAAGCAACTAAGTCCAATTCCTACTACCTTATGTGTCATAAGTGCTCCTCCCACCATCCTCTACTATAATAATTTCTAAATATATCCTTTATTCATAACAGACCAAATCAAAATTTTCTAAGGATACAGGATATATGAAAGCATTAAATAACCATTCTGTTAAACGGGCACCCAAAAATAAGTTAAAAAGGACAAGAAGAAAAAACATAAAGCAAATATCAAAACAACTGATAACCTCAGAGCAAAGATCCTGTAAAACAAGAAAACGTCGATCATAAGCGTTGCACGTATTTCAATGCACTGCTATGAAATTTAAGTGCATTTTCAAAGTTGTCGGATTTCGACGAAAATAATTTTATAGAATAGTACATAAAATTTAAAGCAAATCGGTATAAGGGACTTATAGTGAATTTTGCAAAAATTTGAAATTAAAAATCATCTAAGTTTCCATTTTTTATGACTTAATAACCCCTCATGGTCTTAAGAGAAATAGTTTTAAGAGAGGGTAAATCGGTCTTTTGGCAATCCCTAATCTACCAAAGCCTTAAGGGACCGAATAGTTT